CTTTTTCCGAAAGAGCTCTTCCAGAAAAAGGCTTCTTTCTCGTACAAGGAGGATTACCAATGCTGGAAAAACCCCTCTGTTCTTTCAATTACTTTCAAGAGAACGCAATTGCAGTGTCTCAAAAATCAGATTTTGTCGGGAATACGGCTTACCAGTAGTTCATATATGGAGTGGGATTTGTTTTTCAGTAATTTATTTATTTTTAAACATTCCTAAGCAGATTTAATTTATCTGTACTAAAGACAGTGTACCAAAATACCAAACTTGTGTTAAGGCTCCAAAACTGACTGCTCAAGATTTGCAATTGGAAATATCTTGCTGTTGAGTGTCCTAAATTTACAAATAAACTGAAAATATGGCTTTAATTGGTGTGTGATATATTTTTGCCTCTAACCCTCTCATTTGAAATAGTGCCTCTGTTGAGGGGTGATATCATTGTTCTGTATCAATACATCCAATGGAGAACTATCAGGGAGGATGAGGAGTAATTGAAGTTAATGGCCAATGTAGACACAAAACCAAATGGCTATGAACTGGCCATGAACAAAGTTGGCCTCGAAATTAGGGAAAGTTTTCCAAAAGTCGAAAGAGTGCAATTCTGGAAGAGTATTTCGAGGGGAGCAGTGGGAGCAAAAAAACACCTGACTGGCTCCAAGAATGGGCTTGATACATTTCTGGAGGGGATGCCTATGATGGCATGAGGGCCAGTGGCAACTGCTAGTAGCAAAATTCCTCAGTGGCTGGCGACTGGACACTCGGCAGTGAGGGCTCTCCTGGGAATGGGCTGTGCCGGACAAAGACAAGGGAAGCTGTGTGACCTGCCACCCTGTCCCACTGGCATGACCAGACCCTGTCCCCCATTCCGCCCGCAGGCTCCTGCAGGCAGGATGGGAAATAGCACTGGCCGGGGAAGCAGGATGTGACAGACATGGAGGGGAGCCTTGTGCCTAACTGCCCTGCCCCACTGGCACCACTGGACCCTGGCCTCTCTCCTACCCCTAGGATCAGACCCTAACAGGCCCCTTCCAATGCCTGTCTCTAAATTGCCTGAATCCAGTTTCCCCTTGAGAGCGTTGCTGGGTACCTGCTGGACAGTGGCCACTTTAAAGCACAGCTGTGGCCTTGCACAGAACACTTCTCCATTGGCTTTAGCGAGACCTTCACTGGTTGGTAACAGATTAGGGTTTTGGCTCCACAATGTCACGTGTGCCCTGGTATCGTTTCCTTACAGCTGGAACAGCAGGGAGCCTGCTGCGCACTCCACCGGCCCCGCCAGCTGTGCAGCTTACACAAACCCGCAGGTGACAATAGCCAAGTAAGACATGTGTAAAGAGCAAAGGGAGAGGAGAACTCGCCCCTGGAGGGGATGTGAGCAGCGCGGCAGGAATGGAGAGCGAGCAGGGAAGTGCAAGTGCAGCACCAGGGGACTGTCTAGTCATTCCTCACAGCTGTGGCAGAGCGCATGGCGATGTACCTGTACAGGCTCCCCTCTCCCTTGCAGCAAAACTTTCCCTCCTCACCCAGTTCTGTAGCCTCCAGCCCCAGGTGCCCTAGGACACAGGGTTGGGGAGACTCCAGAGCAGCCTCCCACTCAGCCTCCAGGGTGTCATGAAGCAAAAGGTCGTCCTCCTCTCATTTCTCATTGCTCTCCCCCACCCCCGAGGATCCCACCATGGAATCCTTCTCCTGAAATAACAACACCTAATTTATGAACAACAGTCTCTGTATTACTTGTAGTACTGGAGTGTGTGTGTCGGGGGGGAGGGGGTATTACAGGCAAACATACTGAACGCAGGGCACCTCATCAAGGGCAACGTGCATGACCCTCAACACTGGCCACTCAGAAAACCTTCCTTTCCCAGCCTCTCTGATTTGCACTGTACCTCGCTGTGCTCTCCTTATCGCCCTGGTGTCTGGCTGCTCAAACTCTCTAGCTAGGCGCTCTGACTCCGCCCCCACCTGCCAGAGAACGTCCCCCCTTGCGCTCACAAATATTATGGAGCACACAGCAGGCAGCCACTGCAAAGGGAACGTAGCATTCGCTGAGGTCTAACCCAGTCAGTGGACTCCTAAACCTTCCCTTTAAATGGCCCAAAAGCGCATTCTGCCACCATTCTGCACTTGCTCAGCTGTAGCTGAACTGCTCCTTACTGCAGTCCCGGCTGCCAGTGTACAGCTTCATGGGCCACAGGAGAAAGTCTCGTTCTCGTGTTCCTGTGCTTCAGGGCAGGGGAAAGCCATTTGCAAAGTCCCATGAAAGTGGCCTTCTGCACTGGGATGTTTTGCAGCCACTGCTGCTCATCCCGCACCTGCAGTGCTACGTGGTCCCATGCCGGCGTGTCTCACGCCACCAAAACCAGCATTGCACGGTGTCCAGATGCTCAGATGCTGGCTAGATAGCCAATTCGCTCGACCCAAGGGCTTGCCTGAACAACGTGTCCATGGCATCCCGAGATTCATACTCATCTTCTTCCTGGAGGGCCAGGCATGTGCTCTCAGAATACTCCACCCTTAGGGGCCCCAGGGTAAACATCATTATCACAGTGCTGTAATGCACAACGGGATTCACTAGGGGGCCTAAGAGGATACAAAAAGAGTTTCCCTTTGATCTCACACAAGGTGGGAGGGAGGAAACGAGTGCATTATGGGATGCTGACAATATGAACCTCGGACCACGCACTGCACAGTTTGGGTCCCAGCATGCACCGGGAACATAACCCAGAATGCAAAGCAGCACAGGCACTGGGAGCTAGCTACCCACAGTGCACTGCTCTCAATGTTGAGGGCACTGTCCCTACTGGGGAAGCACTACTTCAAACAACATCTAATTCTTGCACACAGTGGGGATGAGTCCTCTCCTTGGAATTGGTGAGGCCTGCACTGGAGTCTGGTGTCCAGTTTTGCTCACCACTACGGTGAATTTCTGTAGAGAAACTGGAAAGCATCCAGAGGCGAGTGGCAAGGAGGCTGAACGAGATGGAACACGAGCCGTATGGGCGAAGGCTGACAAAATGGGGTAGGCTCAGTTGGAAAAGAGGAGATTACGGGGGGGACGTGGTCGCAGTTTTCACACAGATGAAAGGCTGCCATATGAAAGACGGAGAAAAGCTGTTCCCTCCCGCCACAGAGGGCAGGAGGAGCGGCAGTGAATGCAAACCACAGCCCAGCAGATATAGATTGTATCTCAGGGGAAACTTCCTAATTGCAATAACAGCGGAACAATGGGACAGACGCCTCAGGAGGTTGTAGAAGATCCTTCACTGGACCTTCAAATGGAGGCTGGGTACTTAACCTGTGTTGGATGGTTTTGAGTGGTGGGAGGGCCGCTGACCACCAAAAAAATCAACTGAGAGAGCTCACATAAGTTCGAAGTGAAAAAATCCCAAATAAACCCCCATTGACATATCCCCCAAATGAGGAGAAAGGCTCTCCCCATGTTCTCCTTCCACACCACAGACTAGCAAGGCCCCACAACGCTGGAGTGGGAGCTCTGAGCCTTGAGGGCCAGATCCAGGCAAGCCAGGGGTGGATCTGGCCCCTGGGCCTTAGATTCCCCACCCCTGGTTTAGAACAACAACCCCTGCATCTTGGCAGTGGGTGGAAGTAGAGGGCCCTTGCGGTGCCTTCTCATCCAAACCCTTTCAATGCTGCCACATTTCATGCGACAATGCTGAGCAACAAACCCTGCATAGTCAAACGATCCCTTCCGATGCACACTGCGTACAAAGGTTATTACAGTGGTGCAGCGGTGTGGCTGCGAAGGTGTGTTCTATCAACTGAGCCTTGGGTGCTCAGGCCTTGTGGTGGCAGGGAGAATTCAGCCTAGCAGTGAGAGCTCGGTGCATGGTGGGCAGAGTCCAGGAAGCAAGCTGCATGTCAGTACTAGAGGGACTCAGAAGACAAAGGAGAGAGGAGGAGCGTGGAGAAGAGGCAGAGCTGGGACTGAACGCAGGAGGCTGAGGATGAAGGGGCCGAGGGAGGTTGTGGACTCTCCATCACTAGAGATACTGAAGAGCACATTAGATAGGCATCTGTCAGGGATGATCTAGACAGTGCTTGGTCCTGCCGTGAGGGCAGGGGACTGGACTCGATGACCTCTCGAGGTCGCTTCCAGTTCTAGGATTCTAAGTATCTAGGTACTATCAATATCTTGCCACAGTGCTTCTACAGAAGGATGGGATCTTTCCTCGTCTAACCAGGGAATCAGCATGTCTCCTGGGTGCCTGGGCTCTGACCCATCCCTAGCCAGCTCTGTCCCATTCTTTGAGCGTCATCAAGGGCTCCAGGCCCATAGAAGGTTTGTGTCTCCCTAGATCATCCTCCAAAAAGGACTCCGACAGCCTGGGAAACTAGTAGAATAAAGACAAATCAATAATGTGCCAATGACGTTCCCTTCTCTGTCTGATTCATGGGCCAGGCTGGTGCAGTCGGTCGCCTGGCTTCTAGTTGGTTGCCTGTTGAACCTGCCAGGTGTAAGTTTGGGCGTGGCTGAGAGCGATCTTGTGCAGGCGGAGGCTGACTTTATGGTGGCCCTAAAGTGTTAGCAAAGGGATTTAGATCAACATATAGGCTGAACCTCTCTGGTCTGGGACTCTCTGGTCTGGCAACCTCCATGGTCCGGCAAGACCTAGGGACCCCCAGGAGCAGCTGCCACCCTGTACACAGGGCCATGTCTGGCAGTCAGGGAAGCTACCCTACTTTGAAAGTTAACCGATTTATATAGGATGGGTTGGTTGGGGGGGGGAGGGGCGGGCC